TTACAATGCTTTTAAGCATGTTGACCCATTTGAGGTAGACCAGTTATATAGATTACATTATTCTGAAATAGATGAACTAAAATATTGAATGGTAACAATTGCAGTAAAAATCACAACATAGGAATATCACTTTTATGCTTTAGTCCTCAGACTTCAAACAACAGCACGTCGTCTCTCAAGGTGGCTGTCAATGCATGAAATGAGATTGAAAGATAACGATGTGGTCCATTTCTTATACGAGTTGTAAACACCTTAGTGCAAACTGCACGAACAATCAACTTATGAGGAACGATTTGTTCGCGAATTCAGCGTCTGGTCAGATTCTCCCATTATTATTTAAGGTGCCAAGGCTCGAAGATGATTATTCCGCACAACATAACAATATTCTGGTGTTGAGATATGTTATCTAAGTAACAAATATATATAACGACATCTTCGTTATCTAACTGATTTTAGATATCCTCGGTTACTGGTGAAAGTGGAGTTTGCACCGGACACACAACTATGAAAAAATACAAACGTTTTCCTCCCCTAGAGCGATGTGAACTTAAGACAGCCAGCCAAAGATTTAGATTGTATGAACACGCCGTCGGTAATCAATTTTGTTATAACTCGCCCCTCCCATAAGCGCCCTATCAAGTTTTACTAATCTAGGGAAAATGCGCAAATAAGAACCAAGAACAGTGAAGAAATCGATCCATCGTGTGTGTCTCTAGCTTCTTAATTCTTTTCAGTTGTTCTGAAAATGAGGGAACACAAGTCAAGGCTCATATAGAAAAACGCTTGTGTATAGCGAGGAAACTAATCGTGTTGAATAAATTGTTATTTGTTTGTTTATAAACCGTAAGAAATCAGAAAGAATAAAGAATTTTCTGGGATTCTTTAAAAATGTGTTGATATGTTTTGTGACAATTGTATGTATGTGAACACATCAAAAATCAATATTTTCAGTTTTATCGATATAGACAGACTCAAAATCACAATGCAGCTGAATTGCTATAGAGTACGCAAAAATGAAGAAGGATATGCCTAGAAATCGTCTTAGACTATTCTATTTTTTTCCAAAGCTCTCTAAAACACGATTTTCCAGAACTCATCGTTTTAGCCTAGTTGTCAGGAAACAACCAAATTTCGCCCGGTTGTTTAATATCGAGGTCTCTGTTTCAGTCGAGAGGATTGTATTTTTCGATTATTTAATGGGAAAATCAACACATGTAAGGTTCTCGTAGATTGATTTTGTTTACAAGCGAGGGAAAAAATGTTTAACGGAACGCATTGCATCTGCGAGCATACTATTGTAACAATTGATACCCACATTCACTGAGGAAGATCAAGAATCCATGATTTTCACCTTAAGTCAAGCTTTCAAGCTCTAAATGAGTCAAGCTAAAGTCGTTTCATGCTAGATCATTTCCAAATCTATAATGTAATTGAGATCGTTTTAGGCAAGTTCATTTTTTTCAGGAGGAGGAACAAGTGCCGATAGACTGGAAAGAAGGACACCTCATCAAGATTCCAAAGAAAGGAGATCTGAGCAAATGTGAAAACTACAGAGGCACTACACTACTGACAGTACCAGGGAAAGTCTTCAACAGAGTGTTGCTGAACCAGATGGAGGATGCAGTAGACGACCAACTTCGTGATCAACAAGCTGGATTCCGAAAGGATCGGTCGTGCACAGACCAAATTGCAACACTACGGTTCATCGTCGATCAATCAATTGAGTGGAACTCGTCAGTGTACACCAACTTCATTGATTATGAAAAGGCATTCGACAGTGTAGATAGGAGGACATTATAGAAACTTCTTCTACACTTCGGAGTTCCTGAAAAGATTGTCAATATTATCCGGAACTCATACGACGGACTACAGTGCAAAGTAGTGCATGGAGGACAGCTGACAGACGCATTCCAAGTAAGGACCGGAGTCAGACAAGGCTGTTTACTCTCTTCCTTCCTTTTTCTTCTGATGATCGACTAGATTATGAGGACCTCGACATCTGAAGGAAAACACGGAATACAATGGACAGCTCAAAATCAATTAGACGATTTGGACTTCGTAGATGACCTAGCCCTCCTATCACGTACACATGAACAGATGCCGATGAAGACAGTCAGTGAAGCAGCAGTCTCTGCATCAGTAAGCCTTAGCATACACAAAAGGAAAACCAAGGTCCTCAAATTCAAAGCGGAAAACAGCAATCCAATCACCCTTGATGGCGAAACTCTGGAAGATGTAGAATCCTTCACATACCTAGGAAGCATCATCGATGAACGAGGAGGTTCAGATGCAGACGTAAAGGCGAGGATTGGCAAAGCAAGGGCCGCATTCCTACAATTGAAGAACATATGGGACTCAAAACAACTTCCAACCAATATCAAAGTGAGAATCTTCAATACGAACGTCAAGACAGTCAGTTCTACTGTACGGAGCTGAAACCTGGAGAACTACAACAACCACAATCAAGAAAGTACAAGTATTTATAAATAGCTGTCTACGCAAAATACTCAACATCCATTGGCCGTATACCATCAGCAACAGCCTTCTATGGGAGAGAACAAACCAGCTTCCAGCTGGAATCTTGAAAGGAAGCGGCAAAAAGGAAAGCCAAAGGACACAATACGTCGGGAAATAGAAGCAGATGAATAACAACCGAAAGGAGCTGGAAAGGCTTATCCAGGACAGGGTTGGATGGAGAATGCTGGTGAGCGGCCTATGCTCCTTCACGAGGAGTAACAGGTGTAAGTAAGTAAGTAAGTCATTTTTGCAGGATTCTGGCGCGCTTTCGAAATTGGAGGTGCAGCGGCGTTAGTAGTTTTATGTCAACTACGGAAGCTATGGGAGGTTCAGGATACTTATCGGGAATCAGTTGAAAGTACAGATGGATCATATGTTTGATCGTGGCGAGGCATAACGTATAGCCAGAACATGAAAGTCTTCATACAGCTAGTTAAACATTACCTTCAGTTAGCATCGACGTCCACATATGAAAAAACAAGACCCAGAAATACAACACGGAGAACGCCAATCCGATCAAATTTGATAAAGAGACACTGTCGGATGTGATAGGAGTTTTGTGCCTTGGCCGCATCAGCAATAAACAAAGTGGATATAATTCAGACGTTCCAATTTAGGTGTGAGTTCCGACACAATAAGAACAAAATACATAAATATGGGCAAAACTCTGAAGAAGCGAAATTATATCACGTCATGTAATTAAATATATATATATAATATTATTGACAAGAAACAAACTCATTGCTTATCATCTGGAATATCGGAGAATGGTAGGAGCACCACCAAATATTTATTTCAAAAAATTATTCGTGGCACATACTATTGTTTGTTTAGATTAAAGATTATATGCCATGATCTAGTACAAACCTGCATATAAAGGGAGTTGGGACATCTGTTATCAGGTAAACCTGATAAATAAGTTAGGTAAAATGCTAATTCTAATCACAGTAGCAGACGCTGGCTCTGTGTAACCATATGTTTGAATTTACACACCCCTGACTAAAAATAATTAAATATCGACACCCTGTTATAGTTAACTCAGAGTACTTAAACGCTTTCACCCTACAGTTTATCACACTATACGGTGAACAAAATGAATACGCAAACGTTTCATCAATTAGTAGAGGGAAATAGGAAATGTGATATTTACATTGAATAAAAAGATGAACAATCTTATTTTTCAGCTATAACTCCTTCATTCTAACAATAGGCTGTTTCCTGAATATTAACTTTTCGTCTTTGATTTGTACTATCCCCTAGAAGGACTTCTATACGGGTTTTGAAGCTGTTGAGTTGTATTGGCTACAAACAGGTTTTACGAGGTTTTCAGAATTTTTGAAAATTCTCTCGGTTTCTTATGTTATCACCATTATTCATGAACATTATTTTGTTGGTGATAGACTGGTCTGTTGCATGTTAACCTTCAGGAACTTTCTTAAATCGTTCAGCAATAAAGCGAATGCGTTTTGGGATGTCTAAGGACTTGAAAAGATGGTTCGGATTGAGTACTGAGAGATTTATGATGTCTATGATTTGATCTGCTGCTTTCCCACCCTGTTCCACCTATTAACTCAATTTACAGTTCACTACCGTTCTTCCATCCCAAAACCTCTCCACATAAATAACTTATTGCCAGCTCAATCTCAAGTATCTTTAAAATTAAAAAAAAACTAATGTCCAAACTGTTCTTCTGTTAAATGTTTTGGTAGTATTAAACTTTACACTGCCATGATCGAAAATGGCTAAAGCCCAGAAGCCACAATTTACTTTTTAGAAGTTAATATCTACTGAGTACCTATCAAATACACTGAAACTAATTCAAGACTACTGCACACTGCCGTGCAATAGCCGCCAAAAGTTTTAGAACGTTATGGTCAATACGTAGGGCTTTTAGTCATGTCGACGCTAAGACGTTTTTGACTTTGTATACAGTGTTCGTTCGTCCTAAACTTGAGTACTGCATACAAGCGGCTAGCCCCTGCTTAAAGAAAGACAGTGAGCTTCTGGAAAAGGTTCAGAGAACGGCGACTAAGCTGGTTCCCGGAATAGCGAAGCTTCCGTATGAATCTCGACTGGCCAAGCTGGACCTTTTCCCGTTGTCATATCGCAGAACTAGAGGCGACTTGATTACAGTCTACAAATTGCTTAGTGATAAATTTGCACCTAACATGCCCTCATTTTTCTTGTCTTCCAAAACAGAGAATTTACGAGGACACTGCAAAATAGTTCACAAGCCGAGAACAAATTATTTGTCAGCTGACCATCGACTTTCCCATCGAATCATCAACGAGTGGAATTCACTACCTCAGCACGTGGTTGAGGCTCCATCCGTCGACTCTTTCAAAAGAAAGTTGGATCAACTGAGAGACCACCATTGCCAGGACTAACATAGGCCATCGAGCCTCCTGTCCTTCCCAAACTGAAACTGAAACTGAATTAGACTAGTCAACATTTATTAGGGGTCTTCTACAATCGAAACATAGATGGATAATACCAACATCCTTATCATAGTTCTTTCTGTGTCAAAGAAGTCGATATTATTTACTCAATATAAAGTATTGCTATACGAATATAATATAATTTACGAATATAATTGCTCTTTGGATTATATATGCATCAGCGAGAACACATTCGACCTTAACCTGGCGGACGCTTTACATTTACGTCGGAAGCCGTAAGAAAATATTATGATGTGATGATAAGATTGTTGGCTTTCAATGCATTTGGAATGCGTTAAGTGTACTAGCAGTATATCTTTATAAACATTAATCCAGTGACGAAGACACCGATAATCCATGGTCCCAAACGACACGGGTTGTGAACCAAAGTTCGAAACTGAAGCAGCTACTCCAATTATCATTGCAGTTTTTATTAAATATTCAGTTGAGGCCAGAAACAAAATTTCTTTGTCGTCATTAGTTCATTCGAATACCACAGAAACTCGATATTTTCGTACTCTAAATTCATTTAAACATGATGTCTAGTAAATCTTAGGATATAGGTGGGACGTTCTACTACCAAACTGGAATGAAATGCATTGGAAATTCACTTTTCCAAGGTTTATTGTAAAGGTATTTTTGCGTTTGGCTAAGGACTTCGAAATATAGTATAACAAGACTTCCGGTACTTTGTCAACCATACGACACTTCTAGAGCGCATTATTGTCTAATTTGTATGTGTAGCTGGCGAAATATCTCATCTGAATTTGTTTTTGCACTAATGTTGAGAGTAAGTTAAGTCATGCTACCCCATGGCTTATAGTCCCGTAGTTCGGTATCGCGAACTAATAACTTTATCACAAACTGCAGTTTGTGATCATGATCACCGGTTCTGGGAACATCTAGCTGGAAAGGCTTTATCTATTTAGTAAGTACTTACGATTAGGTTTACTTTGATGATTATTGATCGACTTATTCTTAGAAAAATGAGACCGCCAGGAACATTAGTTTTCAAGTCATTGTACAGGACCCCATTGGGGCTTTCTGTAGATTGGGAGAATGTGGAGCCTACCCTAACCTTGGAATTTCGACTATTTAAATATTTAATTTTGTCTATCAATAGCAAATTACCTTTCGTATTAAGCTTATTGATAAAATCTGTATGATCGGCTCTATCGAAAAGTGTAGAAAACTCAAAATACATTACATCCGTCTTCTCTTTTTAATTAAAGTCTTAGAGAGAATAATAGTTGAAAATAAATCATTGCGTTTTGCCTGAAGGAGCTGTTCCTGTTAAGTTATTTTATTACGTACACGAATCACGTCCATTTTGACATGTTTAATGTTCATTTTTAATAAAAATGCAAATAGTAAAGATGAGTGAGAGGTAAGGATGTCAACTGGATTATAGTCGTTTTTGAGGTGAGTTTAAATATGAGTGCATTTGTTCAACCAAACGAAATCTCGTGTAGTATAGTTCTCAGTATACGATACACTCTAGATATTCTAGTACTTCCTAGTTTCTCACACTTCAATATATATATATATATATATATATATATATATATATATATATATATATATATATATATATATATCTTTTGCAGGTATTTTAAAATAGCGTTTCTGAAAGATGTGCAGCCCTTTGTATGATGTATTGGAATCCTATGAATCTGGGGTAAGTTCAGTAGAAAAATTACACGAATTGGCAGAAAGTCAAAAAGGGATCTGTTCGAGTGAGTAAGTGGATGGGTTACAGAAATGAGAGTATGACATTTGATGAAATTATGGAACAAGTTGAAGTTGCTTTTGCCGAAAAATTTGGTAATTTGTCTTGTTTCATATGTTAACGTGTAAAATATTTTGGTTTTTTGCTTCATTTTTGTACATTAGAAAGCACTTTAAAGCTTTAGTATTACTTTTCTCTTTTTGTCGCGATATTCAGTTAAAATTGGTGTATTTAAAAGATAACTTGTCTATTTTAAAACCAATACGTTCACTTTGTTTTTGATTAGGATATTGTGATCAGTTTGTTAGAGTATCTAGACCACAAATAGGACCGCTTTAAAGATTGTAGCTTGGTGTTTGACTTGTGGACTTTTCATATACCTTATTGTCCCATGTTTTTCCCTGGCTAATTATTTACTTCTTACTCTAGTTTTGTACCGCTTATGACTAACCTATGTTCACATTGTAATTTAATAGTTGTGTTGCCGTGTGGTTAAATATTTCAATCATATTAATAAATTAATTTTGACTCATGACTAACTTCAGTACAATAGAGAACTGGTCTGCTTTCTATCTTCGTTATATGGTTGATCACTGAGTTAGAAGGATCTTGAGGACCAATAAGCGTTAATCTTTGTTGATGTTCACTGATCAGTGTGCCAATTGGTAAATAGGTCGTCAGTTTTACTAACGGGTAAACTAGTTTTTATTCAAACTAGAAATCATATAACTACTTTTCTGTCATAACAGCTCAGCTATACGTTAAAATCTAAGCAAGCAATGTTTTGTCTCGACATAACACATCTTTTGATGGCTACATAAATGTATAAAAATCCACTTTGGTTGAAACTATATTATTCTGACTTGTGTTAGTCGTAATACAAATGAAAAAACTAGACAAATCAAAAGCATGCCAAGAGCAGTATATTTAATAGATTTAATTTAATGCGAGTGTTTAAGACTTGACTTGATTGAGTTCATTTTGAATGGTTTTTTGTATACGGTTTTTTAATTAGGCTCAAAAGACTGCAATAAATATCCAACTGTTGTGGAAATCAGACCAAGTGGAGGACCTGCTTGCGAATCATTATTCACGGTACTTCGGCACGTGACAGATGATCAGATTGGCATGAAAGCGTGTGGTAAATCACCTCATATTTTCCAAAGCGAATGGCCTAATTTCTCTGTTTATATAAAGTAAGATTTTCATGTATATTATTGGTACATTCCGAAAACTTATGTGTGTAATAAACCCAATGCCCGTGAATAAAATACTTGCATCATACCAGGTGAAACAAAGTTTGAACTCAGTCTTATAATACGATTGTATAATACTCTTATCTCTATATGTGTGGTGTGTGTTACCTATGTCTATTGATATAAGTAGTATGTAACACCAATCATAAATTGAATGAGTGGCAGCAGAAGGCCAAGATCGGGTTGACAAGAACAGAAGAGGAAATAAGATGAAGTCGTGAACTGGAAGTATCATAGAAAGTGTGGTGTACAAATGATAGAAATTTGCAAATGAAGTATTCAATGTATAGTTCTCATATTTTGCCAAAATATTCTGTAGTTTTGTATTAAAAATACGTTGGTTGTCCCCACTTGTGTTCTCGTTCACAACATCTTCCTATCAACGGAGCATTTGTATAGGACCTTGAAGTTACTGGATATTTCTGTATTTTTCGAAAATATAAATACTGAATTTCTCTTAGAATTATGGTTTCTGAAAGAAGGAACGGGAAATTGTCGTTTTGTAAATGAGGATATATCGTTAGAACTCCCTTGGGTAGTTACATCGTTGCCATAGCTTCGCTAGTGTCTTATGTAAAGTGCAGTCAGTTTTTTAAAAGTCTCTATTGTTTGGCAAATAAGTTGTAATTTTCCTGTAAAGTTTTAGGATAATTTTGACGAGTATTTTTAAACTTTGTTATTAAGCTCTTACGATAGCTTTTTTGACTTGGTTATTATCAGTAATAAGCTATGAATTTTGTTGAATTACATTGAAATCATGAGTAGATCTAGGTTAAACCACTTTTAAAAACCTGGAAGTACTGAACGGGCGTTTCTTCCTAGTGTAGGATTCCTTAGTTATTTGCGTTCGCAACCGCGCGACCAGAGATCAAACTCGGGACCTTCACACAGATTAATTATTTGTACGTTGTGTTGGTTATCATATGTCTACTTTTTCCTGGTGTATACAATACGGTAAGTGGTTCACTTGATCATAAACATTTGAAGCTTGGTGTATCTACTTCATTTTAAGAATTTAATTAATAATGCTAAACGTTACACGTTATATATATATATATAACTTGTATTCAGTAAGTATTAGTTACACTGGTTACTAAAATGTAACACATTGTACACACTGAGCATTTCATACATCCCGACCCCTTGGTAAATTTAAATGATGCGAGAAGAACAAGATTTGCGGTACAACATGAATTCATTATGTATCAATATTTATCATGAGCTACAAACAACCTAGAGTTACATTGGTAATATTTATGTACCATAATCAATAAAATTTAGTTCGAAGCAACATAAGAAATAAATATAGGAAATAGCATGATTAACGTTATACATATGTTAAAGATGAAGTCATGTAATGAAGTGGCGCTTTCGCCTTAACCTTTGTACAAAGAATGCAAGTGTGGTAGACCTCTCGTTGACATGGTCAAATAGTCATATTATTTTAGCTTTTGTCAATTACGTTATCTCTTTGTTGTTGACGTTCAGTAACCATATTCACTTTAATTTTATATCAGCTAGGTGGCTTGATTATTGCTCATTTGTTTTTATTCAATGTCTGTTTTATCATCGTTTACCCCTTCTCTCCTTTGATGATTTCATCTTTAACAGATGAAATACTTATCAATTTTATGTGGAATATGCTGTTTCTTCTTCTTCTTCTTCATTTGCATGTCATTTCAAACTAAATTTCATTGATTTCAATTTATAAATATTATCAAGGTAACTTTAGGCCGCGGTAGCCGATAATTAAACGTGAAGTGTGATGAATTCATGTTATGCGGTAGATTTTACTCTTCTCACATTATTTATAGTAGATATTGTTCAATAACTTAATTCATATTTTATTTACTGAAAACATTTCCATCTTGAATTCTTTTGAATACGTGCAGACGTTTCCATTTAAAATCTATTAAACAAGATGAATTTATGGATGAAACAAAGGATTTTATTGAACAATTATCAGAAGGTAATTTTAACTATATGCCAGAACCATATTATTGGATTATATACGATCCATCATTAATGAATGGTGAAGATGGCAATGCAGAGATTTGGTTAAAAATTGAATAACACTATAATTGTCTACAAATGTTTACTATTGAGAATTTTATCACATGTCTACTTTACATGAGAGTAGAATTTAATGTATCTATTCATTAAATTCTGAATTCAGCTTAATTATTTTATCATTCCTCTTTCATTGGTTGTTGGTATAAATATAAACATAGTTTCTCTTATCTATTTGTGCACGGGCTCTTCTATTATTTAACCACCAAAATTTGTGTCTGTTATTATTACTATTATTATTACTAATAATAAAAGTGGTCAGTAGTATTCAACAAAAAAAGGATCAACTTGTTTTTATGTCATACGATAACTGTTCAAAATGATTCTTAGTAATTATATGTAAGACGATAGACTATTGCAAAAGATTACTCCATGTTGGCTGTATGTCCTGTTTGAACTAGATGGTCTAAGATGGAGCTGTCAACAGTTTTGACTAAACCTTTTCTTAACCACACGATGAGGGGCTCACGAGCCCGAATTTACAAATTCCTAGAACATTTGCTAATATAACTTTTTCAATAGTTTATCGTGTTAACAGCAGTCTACCTAATTCCGTCAGACTGCGAATCCTACAGACGGCTGAAACAATTGCTATTCGGATCAAAAGGCCAGAGCTTTGCATCCAAAAGAAGTATTTTCAGCCACTCCAATTATATGTAAGAATAAGAATAGTAAAACTTACTCTTCAAAACTATGAATAGAACTATAACAGTGGATTTGTTTTTATTCAAATAGAAAGTCAGTTCAGTGTTGTAAAATACTCAAGATTAATTCTTGTAACGAAAGTTAAAGTTGCTTTATCTCAAAAACGATACTAAAGGAAAAGAAAAAAAAACCTATGAGGTCTTCTCTTGAAACTTCACAAAAACATGTAACTCACAATGCAATTGCATTAGAGTTGTATATGGGGATTACTGAATTTTAAATCAGTGGTTTAAATGTATGTTGTGCTCCCTGAGAAATTTGAAAGTATTGCGTTCAATCGAATGTGTGGTAGTCGGTGACATATTTGATCAAAAGTATGAAAATTGTTCAAACAAAGAGTGTAACAATATAAACTTATCTGAGGATGAAAATTGTATATGTAATAAGTAATTTAAGGAATATATTATGTATTAAACCTAAGGCTCGTTATAGAATTTAATTTAACCCCTTTCAAGTTACTTTATTGTATTACTCATGATATGTGAACAGAAAATAGCTTATATGATTTATCAAATTAAACTTGATATATTTCATTCAATGTTATGTATTAACAATCGCATTATGTATGACTATTTGGACAAATGGTTCAAATTGGATAGACTGTAATACCTTATTTTCTTTTGAGCACATTAGAGTTTGGTAGTATTTGAGAAACTTTTGCAATTTGCCTTTATATTTGGGAAAACATTTCTAGATTATTTTGATTTTCATAATATCCATTCGGTGTTTTTGAACAATAAAATGCACTGTTATTTCTGATTTAATTCGAAGATTCTCGAGTTCTACAGGATTAATAGATCTTTTTTATGTAACCTAGGTGCTCCATGATATTAGTTATGATCTCGTGAGATGACTGTCGAATATAATAGGCATTACAATCTACATATTCTAATTTGTAGACACAGTTCTGTACTTGAGATGTGAAGGTTTTTCTTTGATTCCTATGAAAAAATTTCATAGATTAGTAGTTGTTTTATGGTAGTTTAATCCTGTCTAGTTTAAGGAGTCATTTTTGTTCTTCCATTCCATCATGGCACTATGCTAGACTTCGAATGTACCTTTTCAATTTATTCAAAGTTATCAAATCAGACTTTGGTAATAATCCCTAACTGGTTAGTTAAAGTTTTGACTAAGCTAATTAATTACGTAACATTTTATTGAAATAATTAATTTCTTATTGAGCAGACTTGTTCTTCTTTATTTGGTCATATCGCATGTCCTGAAAAAGATTATCGGTAAATAAATTTAACTAACAATAAGTGGTGTGTTTAACTATATTTAAGGTCAGTTATAGTCTCTGATGAATCAATTTTATCTACGCGCAAACGTACAATTAGTCATATGATTAATAGAAGATCTATCTATAAAGTGGTTTATAGAACTTTTAATTTGAAACTATGTTTTAATGATTGAAGGTCAATATCATCTAAAACATTAAACATAAAAAAGAACTAGACTTCTGTTAAATCCACTTGCTGTCGTTTTACTTATATCTTCCCATTGTTATTTAGGACTGTAATTGATCAGTCCTTTGTTGGCATATATCCTTTGCGGATTGTCTCGATATTGCTTTAAGTCCCAAACTTTTTAATCAAAGATGGATAGTGGATAGCAATGGAATCCAGAACACGCGTTTCATCGTACCGAAATGTAAAGCAACTCTGGGATGCAGGTACATTCAGCTTACGAGTCCCTAAAAAAAGAAACGTGCATCCTAGATTCCACTTCGAGGCATGATCCATCTCTTTAAAATGCTTGTGACTTAGTGGCGATGTTCAAGCAATCCACGTAGGGTGGTTGAATATCAAAAGAAACTGATCTGTGAAAGTCTTAACCAGCAATGGTAAAATTCAAACAACCATTATGTATGAATTTAAATTACAGTGAGATTGCTTTAACTCTAGACTATTAGATTATCCTGTTGTTCATATTTTGACATCGTTGTTACATGCCCATTCTGTGCGGATTGCTTCAATATAATTATTATGACACAGGTTTATACGATATAAATGGAATGTAGCTAACAGTGGAATTAAGAAAGCGCGTTTCTTCTTATTTTGGACATATCAAGTGTGTGCCCTCATCCCACAGTTTATGTTAAATCCGGGACTCGGACCCATCAGCTTTCTCAACAAAATCAAAATATCAATAACAGAATAATTTAATTCATTGCAAATTAAGTTAAAATTCATACCTATGACTCAAGTGAGTGACTATCTGTATCCAGTTGCCATGAGTCAGGTACTAGGTTTGTGTACCGAAATGAACGCTAACTCAAATGTAAGGATATCCAACCAAAAAGTTCCAAATGGGACGATATGCGCTTCTTCGAATTCACTGTTGTACACACTCCATGTTTACACTGAAATCAGACGTGGATTTGAATTTATGTGTATTATTTTGATATTAGTATTAACAGAATTGTGACAATCAATGAACATCAATTTTGCATACTCTTTTAACTGAAGTTTGTAAGTATGATTTTACTAACAAGTATTATTGTCTATGAGATTTAGATTTTTATTCTTCAGATTAATCAAAAGGAATTCTGTATCCTGCTATATATGACTATGAACTAGAATAATTGAAAAAGAAACAACATAAGTAAACAGATATTCAAATATCCTTCTCAATGAAGTATTTCTAGTTTAGATTGTAACCATTAAGTGAATGATTTAAGATTAAGTGTAAAGTTTTGATGAACTAAAATAATTTACTGAATGCATTTGTCAATCAAGATTGTTGAAGACATGTGATTATCATGTGGAAGTAAAAGAAGAAAAAGTTGAAAGTTCTCTGTGATCAAAGTAAAAGTTAAATAATCTTTTTGTTTGCTAATTTTAGTCACTTTTGGTAAGTGTTTTTTTAACAAGGTTGTTTTCTACAAGATATGGTTGTTGATCCCATACTTAACCCTCCTCCTTTACCTGAAATTGAAACGGGCAGTAACGTTAGGAGAGCTATAGGCAGAGTTAACTTTAGTCACTCAATTTCGTGAATTAGTTGAAGTTAGACATTAATACCATTGGATGCCGGCCAGCTCAGTGGTCTAGAGGTTAAGCGTTCTCAAGCGAGACTGACAGGTTCTTGGGTTCAAATCTTGCGAAGTAGAATCATCGATGCGCACTACTGAGGAGCCCCATACTAGGATGAGACGACCGTCCAGCATTTTCAGGTTTTCCATGGTGGTCTAACTTCATTTGACTCATGATCTTAACTATTAAAATTACTATAATATCGACAAAACCTCTTCTGATACTTACTACATTATTAACCTATAGAATATGTTAGAAGTCAATGTTCTAAAAAATAAAATTTCTCTATTTAATGACTTAGAACGAAACTTTACAACCTAATTGTTCTGTTCATCATTATGTTTAGTTCTCTATCAATTTAAGATCATTTACACTTTGTCAGTGTGACATGATATAGATATCAAAGGGATTATTATTATTATTATTATTATTATTATTATTATTATTATTATTATTATTATTATTATTATTATTATTATTATGAGATGCTGGAGAATTGTATACATTTATACACAAGAATAAAACTGTTATGTTCAAGATAATGAAGGTAGTAATCAATAAGTGATCCAAAAATAACAAAAAACTAGTGACATTCAACGGTTTAGTTACTTCATAATAATCAATTACTCAGTTGGGACTATGGTCATATTGTCTAGTACTTGGTACTAATTGACTTTAACTGATAATATAGAATGTTTATAAATTACAATGAAGATTTTGTAAGTGACGAGTTTTCTTTAAGCTGAATGTTTTAATGGAGACAAGTCAGATATCTACCAACTGTGAGTAACACTACATAGGATCAAGTGGCCCTCCTCTCTCTTTGGAGACTTATGATAAACAAGCCGATATAGTTGCACTTATATCATTGTGTTTGGGCAACTAAGAACATTAGTTTGACTAAGATAACGTAGAAATATCGGATAAACTTAACACAAAGAGAACCAGAAAATGTTTAGCAGCATGTCATTGTGGTCAAGTGTTAGCTGATAAACTTATCAAAATCAACACAATCTATCAAATAATAAGAAAAAAGATTATCAAGTAAGAGGAGAAATCGATCAAAGCTAATATGCAAGTAATTCCTACACAATGATGAACGACAACCATTCAGGTTGATAGAACTAACTTACTTCATTTTCAAGTATTACCTAATGATGTTCCGTTGAAGAAGACAGGAAAGGCCTCATAAATTAAACATTCAAGTGAGAGAATAAAACACTTTCAAAGTCGATCAAGTCGCAAAATTGTCATGTTGTGATT